GCACATGGGGGGTGGGATTGGTATGCATGTTACTGGAGGGGCTTTAGGTTGCATGTTATCCTAGTAATGCCTATTATGGGGGGTGGAATGTGATGTTTGTTGGCCATCTTGCTGATGTCACTGGTTGCCAGTAGCTGGGTGGGATGTTGGATAGGGTGTCCCCCAATTGCTAAGAGCTCTTGGCAACCTGTGGTGCTCTGGCTGGAAAGGGGGCAGCAGATGACCATATGAGATGTTGCCTCATTATAGGAATGGCCCTGCCACAGTCCAGCTGACCCTTCCCTGCACAGGGAAATGCTACTGTGATTGGGCCCTCAAGCTGATTGGCCATCTGATGGTACAATCTCCTCAAATGAAACCATTCCAACTCCTCCTATCCAATCAGGCTGGATCTTGCCCTGCCTAGTTGGTGGTAGATCTAAAGACTGTATGCTGTTAGTGGGAAGACTCTATTGGCTAACCTGAGGTGTCTTCTGCCCAAAAGTAATCTCTGCTGTAAAATAGTTTAAAGGGGGGTGGTGGGAGCAGGGCATTGCCACCAGGTGTAGTAATGGACTGTGGCCAAACCTTGCCCTAGATATCAATGACTTTCTATCAAAGATGGACTGTCCCTCTAAAGATTCCTCCATTTCTTTTACAAGTTTTGAACTTGTATTGTAACACCTGAGAGAAAAGGACGCCTTGCAGGGACTGATGCATTGTCTGCAGTATGTTTAGTTGGCCAATAAAACCGATCATGAACTCCAAACATTCTGGGGAAGAGTGGGGGGATTTGTGGAATCCTATCAAATTGGAGTAGAGAAAATCTGGAGCAGTTCAAATGGTAACGGAATTGGCTTCTCATTTGCTCAGTATTTCTAAAATGGATATGGTTGCCATGGACACCTGCTCTGGCTTTTGCCTAATCTACTTGATTAGGGCTGACCAGGGAGCTAGAAGACCCTGCTGCAATTGTGATGTCAGAATTACTTGCTTGAGGGGTGCACTGGGAACTTGGCTATTCCTATGGGTGCTGCACAGTACCACCTCCTTGTCCCTAATACTAAGTATCTGGTATTCTGTATGTATGGACTCTGCACAGGATTTCTCGTCCTGTATGCTGGGTGTAGTTTTCGGTATCTGTATGGATTCTGCACAGTAGCACATCTTGTATGCCCAGGGTGAGGTCTGTATGTGTGAATAATGAAGCTCTCTTGTCATGTTCTAGAGTTGCAGTGCTCTGCTTGACTCTTCCACATCTTCTGTATGCGCAGACGTTACCACAGACTATACCGACTGGTAAGTGCCTCTTATTCTCAGTAAACCCAGCTGGTGCTCGCACTACTTTGTAACCAATGCCATCTTAAACATCCCTGCCTGACCTTCAAGGAGGACAGAACTATGATGCTGCAGTTGCCTCTAGACCTGTAATCCTGGTTTGATGGCGGAGCCTTGCCTTCTAGACCCGTACCTCATGGTTTGATGGCGGAGCCTTGCCTTCTAGACCCGTA